GCTGCTGATCGTCACATAACCCCCCTCTAAGGAGCGGCTTCCAGACGCTCCTAAGAGCTCCGGGGGAGGTCAACGGGGGCTGGGATGGAGGGCCAGGCCCATGGAGAGGCAGGAGGCCAGGCACATGGAGAGGCCTGGGGCCGTGGAGCGTGGGTGACCAGGAAGGAGCAGGACGTGATGGCGGCCAGGGCAGAGCAGACACAGGCGAGGTCCATGACAGCCTCGCCTCCATGGCCCTCACGGACTCAGAGGTCCATGTCAGGATCACCTCCATGGCCCCCACAGAGTACTTACTGCCCCCCCCCAAAAAATACTTGGAGAAATTCACGGGAGGAGCCTCTGGGTGGTGAACTGGTACAGGAAAGGCCTCCCGGAGCTTGAAGGGTGCAGGCAGAGCGAGGCGCAGAGGCGGGGCCGGCAGGGCGAGGCGCAGAGGCGGGGCCGGCAGGGCGAGGCGCAGAGGCGGGGCCGGCAGAGCGAGGCGCAGAGGCGGGGCCGGCAGGGCGAGGCGCAGAGGCGGGACCGGCAGGGCGAGGCGCAGAGGCGGGGCCGGCAGGGCGAGGCGCAGAGGCGGGGCCGGCAGGGCGAGGCGCAGAGGCGGGGCCGGCAGGGCGAGGCGCAGAGGCGGGGCCGGCAGGGCGAGGCGCAGAGGCGGCGCCGGCAGGGCGAGGCGCAGAGGCGGGGCCGGCAGGGCGAGGCGCAGAGGCGGCGCCGGCAGGGCGAGGCGCAGAGGCGGGACCGGCAGGGCGAGGAGTCTGGGCACGCCCACCGGGGCCCGGCGAACCAAACGAGTCCTCCCTCTCCTCCTGCGGCGGCGCGTCACAGGGCTAGACACACTCGCTGGGCTGGACAACTCACTCACTTGAACTGGAGATGCAGCGCTCACCTGAAGAGGAGATGCAGCGCTCACCTGAAGAGGAGATGCAGCGCTCACCTGAAGAGGAGATGCAGCGCTCACCTGAAGAGGAGATGCAGCGCTCACCTGAAGAGGAGATGCAGCGCTCACCTGAAGAGGAGATGCAGCGCTCACCTGAAGAGGAGATGCAGCGCTCACCTGAAGAGGAGATGCAGCGCTCACTTGAAGAGGAGATGCAGCGCTCACTTGAAGAGGAGATGCAGCGCTCACTTGAAGAGGAGATTCAGCGCTCACTTGAAGAGGAGATTCAGTGCTCACTTGAAGAGGAGATTCAGTGCTCACTTGAAGAGGAGATTCACTCACTTCAACAGGAGACTCGCCCACTTGAACTGAAGACTCACTGGACAGACTAAATTCAACACCGGGCACACTTGACTCACTCGGCTCAGCACTTGACTCACTTGACTCGGCCCTCGATTCACTCAGCTCGGTATTTGACTCACTTGATTCACTCAGCTCGGCACTTGACTCACTCGAGTCGGCTGGCACGCGCTCAAACTCCGGTTCGACCCGCGACACCTCCGCTGTCTTAGAAACAGCACTTTTAACAGGGCCAGTGCGGGATACGGGCTCGAGGGGTCCGACATGATGAGTGGTTTTGGCAGGAACGATATGCTTAGAAGCTCCTCTGACGGTCCTTAAGGGAGGATCAAACAGTTTAGCGAGCTGAGGCTTATGCTGCGTGCGGAGTGAGTGAGAGAAATCCGCCGCATACGAAACTCCCCGGCGCAGGGAAAAGAGCAGTTCCTCGGGACCCTCCTTTTCTGCGGGGAGTTCAAAAGCCTTTCTGAACAGGGCGGTAAACACGTCGAAAGGAGGAAACGACATCCGACCTGGTTCCCAAAACGTGCCTGCCCACTCCAGAGCCTTTCCAGTCAACAGTGAGCAGATGAAAGAAACGCGGTCGGTATCCGAAGCGTATAACTGGGGCCGATGACTCATGTACCAGCTGCACTGCTGCAGAAATCCTTCACACGCTTCAGGTGAGCCATTAAACTTCTCGGGAAACGGCGTACTGGAATTACTGCATGCGGTACTCACACAGGGTTGCGGTGGAACAGGTGCAGCGGGAGCTTGGGCTTGATTAGTGCTTGTGCTCTGCGGAGACCATGACTGCACGGAGCTTGCTAGTTCCTCGAGGAGAGAAGTTAGTCTCGCCAGCTGAGAACTATGAGAGGCTAGCATAGAAGCTCGGGTCTTGACCACGGCGGATAGATGCTGAAAGTCTGCTGGATCCTCGTTTGGCGAAGTCTTCTGTAACGTACGGACAGAGACGGTCGGATCCATGTGCAGCACTTTATTAAAACAGGCAGACATGAAAACTGGCAAACACTTAAACAAAGGGGCAATCCAGAAACTCGTGGTCAAAACAGGCAATGGTCGAGGCAGGCAGCACAGGTTCGTGAACAGTCCAGGAAACAGGCAAGGGTCAAGAGTCCAGGGAAACACGGAGACACAGAACAGGGAAGAACGCTCGGAATTGCACGCTTACAGTGTAACAAGACTTCGCAAGGGACACAGGGAAAACTCAGGCTTAAATAAGGAACTCAATAACCAATAAAGAAACACAGCTGAACATAATGAAACACAAAGAGTCCATGGGGAAACAAACATGGGGAGAGGGTGCCCTCTAGTGGCTCTCGAGGGCACCACGGCTGCTGATCGTCACAGATATATTGTTATTGTACATTCCTGCTTGGTTTGTAAAAAGATCTCTTTTCTTGACTGTGTATTCAGGGTTTAGATTGAAGACTGAAAGCATCCTAATCGTAAAACAGAACATGAACTTGGGGAGCTCTTACTTGGAAAAGCTTAAATAATAATTTAAAAAAATGTGTGTGTGTGCTCAGTGGGACAAGATTTTTTTTTTTTATCCAAAAACAAAAGATGGTATGCTGGAAGAGAATCAAAGATCTAACAGCTGTAGGACGTCAAGCGCAGCAGGACTTATAAGGCCCATAAACATCACCTTCCGTAAACTGCACCCCTCCCCTTGGCACACCAGATTTGCAAAGAAACTATGGACAATGGCAGATGCAAGTGCTGATCTACATAACAATGATGATGCACAGAGTGTGTTGATGCAACTGTATCAAACAGTATTGTGTGCCATCATCATTCCTATTCGTTGTTGAATCATTTTGAGGCCCTAAAAGCAGACAAGCTGCAGAAAAGAACATTATGGGAGGATTATTCCCATTAGCAAGTGTTTATTTTTGTGGTTTGCCAGTTCCAGAAATAACTATAAAACATCACAGCAGGAGGATTTCCTTCCTATTATGGGCTGTCTTCACCCGAGTTGTTAACACAAGACTGCAGACTTCACAGACTCCAACAGTTACAGCAAAGAATCTTCAAATGTGCACCAGCTGACTCTGAAATCAGTTGCTCAAATGACTGTTGAAACTAAACAACTTCTGAGCATGCTATAGTAGAATGACATACAACAATAGATGGATAGATAGACAGACCGATCGATAGATAGATAGATAGATAGATAGATAGATAGATAGATAGATAGATAGATAGATAGATAGATAGATAGATAGATAGACAAAATATTCACGCACAGTCATTCTATCTCAATTTTAAAGCCACTTTTAAAGGCATGTGTACACAACATAAGAACACTGACAGCTCTCACCAAATGCAGTGATTTCCACTACTTACAAAACAGATTTACCAGGTTTAAAAGGAAAAAAAAAAAACGCACACTGATGTAAGCTCTGTGTGGTTTGAGTTAAATGTTTTACCCACAGTAATGTGCCTTGCGTTATCTTACAAACTATCTGTTCTGGTCTATTTAGCGACAATTCCGCTATCTGAAACATGATCGTGTAGACAACTCCCACTGCCTCTCTCTTTCTCTTCTCTATCCCTTGGGTTCTGATATCACTCCATGCATGCCAGCTCTAGACAAGGACTCAGTCTTGTGTAAATCGTGCCTTTCTTTAAAAAAATTTAAAAAAAATAAATAAAAAAATACTCATCTAATTTACGCTGTTGTCCTTCACCATATCTTATGATTCAGTAAGAAAAGAAAAAGATGTTGCCAAGATGACGTGTTTTATTGAAAGGGTGGCATGTTCATAATGATTCCTTTCTACAGTAAAATCAACTGTAGCAACTATTTTGTTGTAAATGTAAATTGTTGTAGACCCCCTGCTGAAAAAAAAGAGAATACACTTAAGCAGCCTGATATAGATAGATAGATAGATAGATAGATAGATAGATAGATAGATAGATAGATAGATAGATAGATAGATAGATAGATAGATAGATAGATAGATAGATAGATAGATAGATAGATAGTATTCATGCAGCCCCGTGCAGTAAAACACACTACGTCCTATTAATACAACACCATCAGTTACGCGTGTAACTGTATGCTCAGCGCGCGCGAGAGACACGCACCAACCGCCGCTCGCGCAGCCAAACGCGCGCCGTAACCTGAGAAGCCCTACTCATCATCTCTACGATTAACGCCAGTGACCACTGTGACACCAAGCTCTCCTCTTTCCACCGAGTCAAACATTTGCTTTGCAATGAGTGTTTAATGCGCAGGCTACCAGTTGGTGTTGTTAAGACCAGCATGTTTCACTTGAGCGTCTTGGCCATCTGGTCATGGAACATGGTAGCTGGTCTCTAACTGGTCTAAACTGGTCGTTAGCCAGTCCAAGGTAAGTAGATCATGTTGGGCCATCAATAAACAAGCTTCCAACTGGTTATATAATCTTAATGTGGTCAAGGTTATAGCTTAGCCAACCTAAATGCCTAATAACCATTTAAACCAGCGAAATGTTCACAGCCAACCATCTTAAGGTGGATAATATGCAAAGCAATTCATTGCATTGAAAACCCCTTAACATAAGCTGTAACATATATTTGCCTAGGCTACTATATGATTTGATAGGCTACTTACCAAATGTCATGTTAAAAGCCTGTCATGTGTTTTCAATTACAATATAAACTAAGCCTCCTTTAACATATTCAACCTTAATTCAAGTTCAAACTCTGAAAGTTCACAAAAGCGAGCATATTTTTAACAGTCTAGCCTATATAAAGTAGCCTATTACAGTATAGCCTACATGATCATATAGCCTATGTAGAAAGTGTTCACAAAAAATGTTTGTTTTGTTGAGTATCGGTAAACACCTACCGGCCAAGCGAATTGAAAGGGAATGATAACGGTCCCGAGGTCATTGGCCTTGTTTGGGTTTCCATTGAATCCTTTCGACTGAAATGTATTCCCTCCGACCACGCTCGAGCGTCCAGTGCCGTACGTACATAAGCCAGATGTGGTGACCTCCACCTGGTATTCCTTTAGACACACTTTCAAGTACGTGTCACATTCGTCCAGGTCGCACAGACCGTCTCGTGCGCTCCGCGCGCCGTCACAGCAGTTTCCATTCGCGAGCTCACCCATGTCATTCTCCACGCTGATCAACTGGAGCTCTAAATAACCCGACGACTGGCACACCTAAAAATAACATAGTTAAAATATGAATTACAAACATTATTGCACAGAATAATGTGTCTTGTTCCTAATAATAATGCTTTATCACTATTGAATAATATATAGCCGAGTGCATTGGCTTACATTTAAGAAATTATTTTATGGTTCAGGTATTTCAGAAATACCAATGCATTCACAGAAAACGTCAATAAACAGGCTCGTGCAATATAGAAATATGCACTTTAAATCATTTACCGTATTATAGCCTATGCAATGCTTACAGTTTCAAAGTCGGGGCATAACAGTGTAGCCTATACGCGGACTTGTTTTAAAACGCTTTAAACTTTGAGGATCACATGATTCCACTGACAGAAGGATAATTCTATTAGGACAAGAATCCCAAAATCTAATTTGACAAAAATCAATGAGTTTCAGTTCAATGTTAAGCGACTGTTTAATCTATGGACTTTGCAGACAGTGAAGGAAAAAAGTGGACTTAAAAAGGCTTAAGGAAATTTAACTCACCTCAGTCCAAAACGTCAAAATTAGCAACACTATTGAGAAACAAGCTCCAAAATAGTTATGCATGACTCCTATGAAGTTAATACGACATGGTTAAAAAAAGAAAACCAATAAATGCATCGGCCACAGAAATCCAGCCATACAAAGTGATTCGTTTCTCCGCAAGACCTCCAGAAGATGAGATGAAAGTCACACACATACATCCACTCAGTTCTCCAGCGCGCTGCTCTCACTATATCAGTTAACTACTAGACGACTGAACGGACTTGACTGACAGTTCAATAAACCATTGGCAAGTCATCAGATGTAGTAGAACGTCTGTGGCAGCCAATCGCATAGTCAGAGGGCGAGGCCTCCATACAAAATTATAGATCTGACAGGATTATTGACTTAGTTTAGAGAGTAAAAGAAAAAAAAAGATTTTGAGATTTAAAGATTTTTCAAACACGTACTGTTATCATTTAATCAATTTGAATCTTTCACAAATGGAATAATTTTCCATTCTATAGCCTAATATTTTACAACTGAATGGTTATATAATTACTGGTAAAGGTAGGGTGATAATTATTATTATTTTAATTTTTTTTAGCATTTTTTGTAAAAAAAAAAAAAAAAAAAATTCTCTGCTTGCACTCTTTCACAATCCAAATTGACACCCGTGTCAAGCCACAGTTAAATGTTTTTTTGGTAACAGATACCGAGCGCCCTCTAGTGATCGATTACTGGTGGATTATATCATAATAATGTTGCCCTCTGAAAAAAAAAGAGTTCACCCTTTGGCCTTATGTAGTCCTGGCTTCTTCTTCTTTTTATTTTTACTTTATTTTATTTTATTTTTTTTGTCAATTGTAGGTTTTTTAATTCTCTCACAAATAGGATGGCTTACATGTTGAAAACATGTTGTTGGGATATGGGGATATATGAAGTAATAATCACAATTTGAAAGGCATGTCATGTCACACCCAAAACATCTTTTTGTGTGTGAATGAGGTTCACTACTAGGCCTACACTAACCGGCCACTTTATTAGGTACCCCATGCTAGTAACGGGTTGGACCCCCTTTTGCCTTCAGAACTGCCTCAATTCTTCGTGGCATAGATTCAACAAGGTGCTGGAAGCATTCCTCAGGGAGTTTGGTCCATTTTGACATGATGGCATCACACAGTTGCCGCAGATTTGTTGGCTGCACATCCATGATGCGAATCTCCCGTTCCACCACATCCCAAAGATGCTCTATTGGATTGAGATCTGGTGACTGTGGAGGCCATTTGAGTACAGCGAACTCATTGTCATGTTCAAGAAACCAGTCTGAGATGATTCCAGCTTTATGACATGGCGCATTATCCTGCTGAAAGTTGGGTACATTGTGGTCATAAAGGGATGGACATGGTCAGCAACAATACTCAGGTAGGCTGTGGCGTTGCAACGATGCTCAATTGGTACCAAGGGGCCCAAAGAGTGCCAAGAAAATATTCCCCACACCATGACACCACCACCACCAGCCTGAACCGTTGATACAAGGCAGGATGGATCCATGCTTTCATGTTGTAGACGCCAAATTCTGACCCTACCATCCGAATGTCGCAGCAGAAATCGAGACTCATCAGACCAGGCAACGTTTTTCCAATCTTCTATTGTCCAATTTCGATGAGCTTGTGCAAATTGTAGCCTCAGTTTCCTGTTATTAGCTGAAAGGAGTGGCACCCGGTGTGGTCTTCTGCTGCTGTAGCCCATCTGCCTCAAACTTTGACGTACTGTGCGTTCAGAGATGCTCTTCTGCCCACCTTGGTTGTAACGGGTGGTTATTTGAGTCACTGTTGCCCTTCTATCAGCTCGAACCAGTCTGGCCATTCTCCTCTGACCTCTGGCATCAACAAGGCATTTCCGCCCACAGAACTGCCGCTCACTGGATGTTTTTTCTTTTTCGGACCATTCTCTGTAAACCCTAGAGATGGTTGTGCGTGAAAATCCCAGTAGATTAGCAGTTTCTGAAATACTCAGACCAGCCCTTCTGGCACCAACAATCATGCCACGTTCAAAGTCACTCAAATCACCTTTCTTCCCCATACTGATGCTCGGTTTGAACTGCAGGAGATTGTCTTGACCATGTCTACATGCCTAAATGCACTGAGTTGCCGCCATGTGATTGGCTGCTTAGAAATTAAGTGTTAACGAGCAGTTGGACAGGTGTACCTAATAAAGTGGCCGGTGAGTGTATATACCAACATGTCTGTTTGTTTGTGCTCATAATTCAATACTTGCATTTCACTCTGATATCTCTTTATTATTTTATCAGGCACAATATAAATATATAAATATATATATATATTTGGTCAAATGCTTCCCACCCCTCAGCTGTGATGCTAGACCTGAACTTTTGCTCTTAGTCTGTTAGTAATAGACTAAACAAGATGATATCACAAATTTGCTGTATTGTTGTGTCACATCCTACTATTTGTTAATCTTTCTCTCTCTTTCTCTGCTCGCTCTCTTTAGGAAATAGGTGACGTTGTAGTCCTAATCTTGCAGTCAGACTCCATCCTGCGTTCTTCTACTGCCGGTCCATAGCCAGAGTAAAGGAATAAAGAAAGGAAGTCAGCTACATGCAGAAAAATTAGATGTGAACAATGCTCGCTGCAGTCTAAGGATGTGACACACTGCAGCTCTGATAGAAAGAAAAGCACCTGCAGTCTGTTAAGTTCACAGAACATGTACAAATTTGGGAAGGGGGTGGGGAAACTGTTCTGTTTTCCAGTGGATGCACATGAAATGATATCTACACAGTGTTCTAAAGGTATGACTAATTGAAAGAGTTGTTGTTGTTGTTGCTCTGAAGTTTGGCCTGCGGTCGAAAGTACAATTGTAGTTTTGATACAGTGTTGATGATTGATTTGTTTAGTTGCAGGGTGATATAAAAGATTAAAGCTTTGTCTGTTGATATAAGAGATTACCTCACATGCAAAATCACATTCATACATGCAGTGGCCCTAAATATTATTTTAAGCATATCCTAAAGGGGTCATATAATGCCATTTTTGTACAAGTTAATATGAATGTTTAGGGTCTAAATTAAAACTTTGTAATATACTTTTATTAAAAATTTGTTTTCAGCACGCCGTTTAGTCTATCTGCATCTTGTTCTCTCTGCTTCCTCTTGAAGATGCAGAGAGAAACCGAAGTTCTGAAGAGTTAGTGAGCAGGTGTGTCATTGAGAGGTGTGAAATTCTGTCTCAGGTTTATAAATGTCAGTGATGGAGTGTGAGAGTGCTTAACCTCTGACCTCAAGGCAGACTTCTATTACAGCTAATGCAGATTCCCTCAGTGTTTGCACTCTACACCTCTTTTATGGTCACTGAAGGGGTGTGACATGCCAATGGGCTGACCTGAATATGTCATCTTCAGAAGAGGCATCTTACAGCTCACCTCAGTTTGCCCTGTTCTGATTGATCTCAATTGCAGATCATTTTGTTTACTCTTTAGTTTTACATTTTCTTTTAAATCATATGAAGCAAGATTTAATTTCGACACCAAAAACAACAACAACAAAAAATTATTAAATGGCCTGCAATGTAGTGTAATGCAATGTATGCCAGGTTTGTCCTTTTTGGAGCTTGACAGCCCCTGGTCCCCATTTGCTTGGTGGTCGAATGGTGGTTTGTTCAACATTTTACGTTCCACTGAAGACAGAAAGTCAAAAAATCCTTTTAAAAATGTGTTGAATGGAAGTATCATATCTGTATAGAATTTCAGAGAGAGAATTGGCAAACAATCCACTTCTAAACTTTGATACATCTTGTTAGCATATTAACCAAATTTCATGGTATTTCTGCGAACCAAATTGTTAAGACAAACAGTTTCCACCCCAAACTTTAGTATTGAGCCAGTGTCATGACTCATGTCTGTTTAGTGCCGCTAGTGACAAATATTACTACACCTTCAATTAAAAAAAAAATTGGGAAACAAATGTCTGACTGTTGAACTGAAAGTTGTTTATAGTTTATATACAGCCTGAGACTGTAAACCGCTGGTAATTAGACAGCTATGTGACCCCACCATATAGGCCAGTTTTTGAAGCCCAGCTGTGGTTTTGATTCAGGCTTCTGGGAATAGATGCCAGGCAACGTTTAGGTCTGCGGCCCATGAGGGTTAACCTCAAGCGGGTGTGTGCGTGCCTAGCGGTGGGTGGGTATGTAAAGGATGGAGCTGTTATCAGCTCAGTCAGCTGTGCCAATCATTCATTGCATTAGAGTGCTGTAAGAGAGGGAGGAGTACACACACACACACACACACACACACACACACACAATGAGACATTGTGTTGCTTATATACAGTGCTGAATAGAAGGAGATAGGCAGGGCTGGTTGAGCATGGATTATGTGTTTCTCAGAGAAATCCCTTGAGAGTAACTCTGACCTTTACCCATGAGAATATTCTCTATTGTGTTTTTGAGGGGTGGGGGTATACATCAGTCCTCAAGTTTGACTGAATTTAATTTTGTATGAATTACTTCAATGTGATTTATTTGGAGACAAATGACTTTTAGAAAAAAAAATGTTAAGCATGAAAGTCCACCCCTAAATCTACCCATCAATGGTGTATAAGCAGTTTGTACGGGAAAAAAAAGATTGGTTGTTCAAACTTATACAAATTAGCTGCCAATTTGACAAAATGTAGTTATGGAATGGCCATGAGAGTGTGTATCCAATATCACGCTCACAATCATGTTGTTGGTACAAATATCCTGTATATTCGGTATATAGCCAAAACCTTATGTACAGAATTAATTTCCTCTTCAGCCTTGCTGTGTATTTGCTTTCACTTGTTACCCAGTGTTTAAACAAGTTTTCCTCTCTTGTTAAGACTTGCTAAGATTTCGTTCTTGTGTTTTTCGAAGGTAAGGGAACTGTTCTTGGGGAGGGAAAGATCCCGTGCTATTGTGTTTTACACAGAGGTGTTTTTTGTATGAGGTAACATTTCCTACAATAGTGAGAGAATGAGAGAAAAAAAGTGAGGAGAACAGGGTTGAGAGACTTCATTGTTGAGAAATCTGTCAAAGGTACTGCATGATGCAGGGGATTCGAGGGGAATTCCACAGACATTCCAGTCTGTCCCAAACACTTCACAGCTCAGTTTAGCAGCACAGGAAAAACACTCATCATGACTCAAGGTCATATCACTCTCCCTCTTCCATGGTAAATCTACCTGTACAATCCCATGCCAAATCACATTCCAAGTTTTT